ATTTTGCAATCTTCTATTTTCTTCAGATTTTCCATTTGCTGTATTACCTCTCTTGGCCACATGAGGCTGAATTACATCACCACTCCTTGTTCTAAATACTGTAGGTCACATGTTTTGTAGCCAAATGAAAAACATAAAAGAAATGTAGCATAACTTGCTAACACTCAGTATTTGCACATTATGTTTAGAGTGTACAAACAAACATATCTGGGAGAAAATATAAATGTTCTAGTCCTATTAGTCTGTTAACGTTATTTCACCTGTTTTCATAAATGCAAAGTTAGAATATGGATTACTAGAAATCATTTTTTATATCAGACTACCCTCTCACGGCTTCCATACCAACCTCATTTTCAGCTTGAAAGAAAGGTTCCTCACAGAGGCAAACAGCAGAAAGCAAAGGTTCATTCATACAGTATATAACACTTACGTATAAGCTTCATTACTCCTTTAAGCAAAAGCTGGTTTTACCATGGAAAACCAAGACTAGAATGTTCTGTTTTAAACAAGCGTTCTGTAATGACCTGCAGCTGCTGTTACATAAGTAACTGTCATCACTTAGAATCCCTGTTTGCAGACTTTCTCTCAGCTCCACGCATTTGGCCTGCACATTTCCGTCCAGACCTTCTTTTGAAGAGGCTGACATCACCGCTCTTTATTATTAGTGCAATCCTCCTTTTTGCTAAAGAGTAACACAGAAGAAAACAGACAAGCTAATTATTAAAGTGTTGACCTTGTCATGTTTTATACATCTATTTATTTCCTTTTTAATATTGGTATGTTTTAATGAAACAAAGAAACCCTTGGGGATCTTTTCCAGAGACATGCTTCTTCTGCAGATTTGAACAGAGCGCCGGGGGCTTTGGTGAGGTCATTTTTCCAGGAAGGACAAAGGTCACTCCTGCCTCTCTCTACATCATTTATGCCTGACACAAGGTTACAGGGCTGGGGGGCTGCTACAGAGGGCTTCTCAGAGGTCGACACTTTAGGACCCCCCTTGTGCAACTGCACAACCTAATGGGAGGCCATCCACTGAAGATGTGGGTGATTTATGATGGAGAGAACCCAAAGAGCTGGAAGTGAGAAGAACTGGAGGGTCACATCATGGAGGAGGGTTGCAACAATATGAATGGTTCAGGCTGGCTGATATATTATCCTCATTTCCAGCTTCATATCAGTATGTAGTGTCTCTACTTTAAAGAGTCCTCTCCTGCTGATGTTCAGATGTATATCAGTAAGTAGTGTCTCTACTTTAAAGAGTCCTCTCCTGCTGATGTTCAGGTCTATATCAGTATGTAGTGTCTCTGCTTTAAAGAGTCCTCTCCTGCTGATGTTCAGGTGTATATCAGTATGTAGTGCCTCTACTTTAAAGAGTCCTCTCCTGCTGATGTTCAGGTGTATATCAGTATGTAGTGTCTCTACTGTGACATGTCTCCATTCTTTAATGTTCAAAAAGCTCTTTATTTTTCTCATACTGCCTGTGCTGCAGCACCTCTTTTCCCCCTCTGTCTGAAACCAGAGCCCAGTGTGCTCTAATTGGTTAGCTGGCCGGCTCTGTTGTGATTGGTCAACCACTTAGAGATGGCTCGCCCCTTAGCCTATCACATACAATTTGTTGGATCGCTAGCCAATGGAAGCACAAGTGTTACATTATTGTTCCCCCACAGGTAATTGTTTGTTTCAACAACAAACAAATCCATAAGAAATAACGCTTTCTTACAGGTTGGGGCCATGAATCACCAACTTAGTGGGAACTGACCCTGTTGCGATTATCCAACTGTGAACTGTGCGTGGTTCGGGTAGCAGTCCTGATGAATAGTGGTGATATAAGCCACTTGTTCTTAAACTCCTTTTAGTCCATACAAAAGTCCCAACAAAGTTCATGTGGAGTGTGGACTGGTACTTGGAGAGGTCCCAGTTCACCTCCTGGGCCCTGCCGTGGTGCCCTTGAGCAAGGCACCAGACAACCTCCTTCACCCCTCCACTCCCCATTGCTTCCCTGGGTGCTGTACAATAGCTCCCCACTGCTCCTGGTACTAGGATGGGTTAAATGCAGAGGTCAATGTGTGACCATTAAAGAGGGTTTCATCCTCCAATTCTATTCTATTATGTTCCCGTAGCAGAAAAGAGAGTGTTCTGGACACAGTGTCGTCGCAGGGACACAAGCTCAGCCTCGGGGTCCGACTGACAGCAGCCTATGCTTGGGTCTGGCTCTGCCTAAGATATGTGTGTGAGAAGAACTTCATCTGGAGAGAACATTGGGATTTAGCCTTTTCAGACCTACATGCACAAAAAGCATAATGGTACCTCTTTAAGATTTAAAAGAGAGAGAAAATGATTGAAACGCGTAATAATCTTCCTGCATGAGCTTCTGCTGAGCTTCATGTGTTGTTTGCAATGTACCCGAGGATGAACCGACAACTGAAAAAAAGCCAAACCTGGAACTATACGGAGGACATTACAGCACATTAGTTTATTTGTTTGAATGGTTCCTTGGCAGATTTGTGGTACGTCTGTAATGTGTGTCTGAGTTATGACCAGTGGTGGATGAAGTATTCAGATGTTTGCAATCTTTACTTTAAGTACCAAACACATCTTGAAGTAATGATTATACAGAATGGCCCTTTTCAGGTTAAGGCGAGACACCCCAGGTGAATAGGGTAATTTTTTTAACTTAAAGGTATCAGCTAGACATTTCTCCAGTTAATTACTTACAATAAGGCAATTGTCTTTTGTATTACAAGTTTTCTGAAATAGCATGTTTAAATATGCAAATTAGCCATTATCTCATCAAATATGTGCATATTTTAACACATTTCAGGAATCGAAATCTGAACTTTGGATAAAGCCAGGTTCAAAATTCTTGTTTCATTTTGTACTCATATTAGTATCTAAGGCTTTTACAGAAGGGATATTGGATATCTCTTTTTATCACTGCATAAATCAGAAAATACTGTCAACAGCCCTAAAATATCAATTGTTGCCATGTTTTTAGGTATACAATGTTGTATAATTCAGGCTATGAATGATATATGAACAAACCCTTCTGTAAAAGCCTTCATAATATTGATAGGAATATAACAAGGTTTGGTGTATCTACGTGCTACTGAAGTTGAAATTTCGAAATCAGAGTAGGAGAAAAAACTCATTTTGAGAAAACGACCTTTAAAGATTGCAGTGAGGCGCTAGCTAAACCTCCTGTTCTTTGGATGACAGCTTGCGCATCAACGCACTCCGTGAAGGTATTTTCATGTTCGGGGTTCATTTATTTTTTGTATAACCTTGCTTCGTGCAAGTGACAATTGTTGCCGTCTTCTCTGTAAACGTTTTTTTCGCCGTTCTTTTGCCATTTTGAGATTTACATTTCTAGCGGAAAGCTAACCAGGAAGTGTTTTAGCACACCACGTGACGCATCTGAACGAATCACGTTGTCTGAAATTGACACCAGCCAATGAGATTTCGTTTCTTGGTTTAAGACCCCTTTGTGCTTTCACGATTGGTTGCTGATACAAAGGAAANTACTGTCAACAGCCCTAAAATATCAATTGTTGCCATGTTTTTAGGTATACAATGTTGTATAATTCAGGCTATGAATGATATATGAACAAACCCTTCTGTAAAAGCCTTCATAATATTGATAGGAATATAACTGGAAGGTTTGGTGTGTCTACGTGCTACTGAAGTTGAAATTTCGAACTCAGAGTAGGAGAAAAAACTCATTTTGAGAAAACGACCTTTAAAGTCCTTATCTTGCATAATTTACTGTAGCTGAAAGATCATAGAACTGTTTCAAAATGCATTAACTTGTTGGGTCTTATTCCAGTAACACGTGATATAGATCGAATATCGTTTCCTATTTGCTGTAAATCACTTGTTAATATCGGGAAAATGGGTCAAATTCAGAGGTATCCAGAAAAATCTGGATTCAAACTTGCCACTGCTTGGTGCTGTGTCGTGACGTCACGTGTGGTTCCGCTAATCCTGGTGAGTTCAGCCCGTCCCAGCATCACACAGTGTAGCATTGCTGGTATAGCCGCATGTCAACTTTGTGTATCAGTGTTTATCTCCGAGTTTGTCTTGTTTTTTCCCGGATTTCCCGAAGCTTTAATGATCATGGTGAAGAGGTGTGTCGTTGGCGGGTGTAGCTGTTGCTACACCCGCCAACGACACACCTCTTCACCATGATCATTAAAGCTTCGGGAAATCCGGGAAAAAACAAGACAAACTCGGAGATAAACACTGATACACAANCAAGAAGAGTGTGTGACAGACAAGAAGAGTGTGTGACAGACAAGAAGAGTGAAGAAGAGTGTGTGACAGACAAGAAGAGTCAATTTTAATATCTAACCCTTTATATATACAATCTATGTGTCTATCACTTAATGTGGAGAAGAGATGTCCTGTATGGGTTGATTGTGCGTTGATCTGTTGGTAATGCCTCGGGGTTCTGGTGTGCATGTAAACAAATAATGCTGCGCTATACTTTGTGGCCTCACCCAGTTGCATAGCGACGCTTATTGTTTAGGTGTCTTTTAATAAGCAGGTAGTCATATCATTAGCTAGACCTGATCAATATGGACATAAACGTGAGTAAAGTCTAATCTGACGGGAGAGAGAGATCAGCTGCTGCTGACGAGTCGACACGCAGCTCTGCATGATCACATGCAGCGGTGAGCGGACTAAACACACACTTCAGGTTAGAATATCACACGTAGCTATTTTAATTACCTCTCAAACTACCGTAACTAGTTATAGATATGTTTAGTTTTGCTGTCGGGTCACTCATTACTGGATCCGCGAGCTGCATGATACTGGCGGGCTGTCAGGAGAGGGAGAGAGCGCTCCGTTTATTATTCCTGTGTTATTGTAAGTTACTGTACACTTTTGAATAGTTAATCTACTATAATTAGTTTGTTTAATATCATATCAATTTGTTTTAAAGCTCAATAAATAACAAAGAAGACCTTTGACCGGCACTTTTCTCATTTTGTCCGGAAGATTTAAACTTTAACGGACATGTTGACCGGCAACGGGAACTCTGTGTGGTGGAGAGGATTTGTAGAAAAGGAAAATCATGACATAAGTCTGTAACACCCTAGTTGTACTATTTAAAGTGGCTTAGTTGGAAAAAGTATTTTTATTCCCTTTAAAAACCTTAAGGCAATTCCTGTAAATAATGAGTGTCAGAAAAAAGAAGAGCACAGGCAGACTTTTTGCACCATCAAAATTATGTTAGAGCAAAGTCAACACTTTCTGAAGCCAAACCCTGCAGTAAAAACGCTACAGGAAGTCCAGGTGACAGTCACATGAGCACATCCGTGTTATTACCTGTTTGTTTCAAGTCAAATGTATTTTGCTTGTAATCTGGTTTGCTGGTGGTTCAAAGGTGTTGAAATCCTCTACACATATTCTGCTTTAACGTTTGTGCCCTTACTTGGTATCATCAGCCACTTCCACCTCTGCGTTTGCTGTGATTGGTGCGTTGGAGTGTCCTGCAGTGGGGTCGTCTGTATTCAGCTCCCCATTGGTTGAACTCATCACCTGGAGTTGAGAAGTAAAAGAGAGTAATGAGTACAGGTGGCCGAAAGTCCCATAACAGAGGGATCAAATAAACGCTGTTTGAGTGTGAAAACAACAACAAGTTCTCTGTACACTGACGAAACAAAACAATGGTTTAGCAATTCAAAGCCATCTTCTTATTTATTTGCACAAATTCCAGCCCAGATCCTCTCAGGCCATCAGTGTCCTGCTGTCCATCCTCACAAAGGGAAATGTTTTCAGATGTAGCCAGCCTAATGTGGACGTTGTCTGAATAGTCCATAAGGGCTGTGACCTCCAGGAAGGCATTCAAAACATTGATATTGCTGCCATGCAAAAAAGCTGCAAGTTCACTTAATGCCTTATAACAAAAAGCAATGACTACTCTTGGGACTGGACATGATTGGTTCTAACAGCTCTGACATCACATACATGCTCATACAGCGGGTTACTATTCATTTCAACATTTCACCCATCTCCATTTCTAGTTGTATTTCCCATGCATTTAGTGCACCTGAAATGTCAACTTTAATACAAAATGTAAGGACCGCCCACTTAATGTCAATAGAGTAGAGCAGGAATGAGTCTTAACCCTGGAAATGAGTTAGCATTTCAGCACTTTGGGGCGCGTCTCAACGTCACATCTATAAAAAAAAAAGCAAACGCAAATAAAAGAAGATTTAGAACAACGTTTACTTAACTTTGCCTTTAAAACCAGGCAAAGTTGATGATAAAAGAATGATCAAAATATAAGATGATATGTAGCCTCATATCACAACCAATCAAATATCCATAATATCGCCAAGCCCTAGTTCTGACATGCTGAGCCTTATTATAGGCAGTCAATGTCATGCTCTGTCTTCCTGGTGAGAGATATCCGGGTGTGCATGTGTTCCACACCACTTTCTACTGGATTCATTACATTCTCCCCCCACTCTTCTTCTTCATGTTGCTGTGGGCTGCATTCATTTGACACAACACTGTACAGTAGAAATACATTTTGAAATGTTGCCACTTTTTAATGATTTGTAGTAGTTTCTTTTATTTTGCATATTGACTGGCTAATGTGCCGTTTGATTTGTGTTTTACAGCTGTATTTGTCTGCCTGTATTGTCTGTGTTTGATCCGTTTTAACTTTGTTCATGCTGCCCTTCTTGGCCAGGTCACTTCTGGAAAAGAGATTGGAATCTCAATGAGTCTTTTACCTGGTTAAATATAAATAAAACCTTTTCGAAAAATAAACACGTTTTCACACTGCCACAAAATGAGATTGCTTTGTTTGTGGGAATGTTGCAAAAGGTGGCAGATTTGAAGTGGCTACAGCTGCTCTCCATACTCAGGCCTTAGCTACCCTGGTTGATCAATCAAACAACACATACACGTTTTCTTGCCGGTCAATTAACTGTAGTCTGCTGAACACAAACAAAGGCTTCGTTTACAAACCTGACGCTGCTTCTGGAAAAGTACAAATTCCTACAAGACAACAGCTGTGTGCTTCTACCTTGATCATTTCAGCTAACATAAGAAAACTACCATTGCCTCAGTGCATTGAGTGGTGCAGGAATGAGTCATAAAACCCAGAAGAAAGTTAGCATTTAAGCACTTCCAGTTCACCTGTCTGCACGTCTTTAGTAAGATGACAGGAAAATACATTAGGGAGTACCTCACTGATGAATGTCTGAAGCTTCAATGTGTCCTAAAAAAGTGAGGCTACTAAACATCAAGCAGCAGAACATTAGCCACCTTTAGCTTAGCGCTGGTGGCTGTATTTCTTAAGTGGCAGCAGTGTGAATGTGATGTACTTTGTACAGAGCCTACTGTTAGCTTTTAAATTATTTGATTATATTTACGCTTAAGAAATAGGGGAGACCAACCCTGCTGAACAAAATGTGTAAGTATCACAAACATGTGTTGGCCAAAGATCATATGTTACAATTCCATCACTTTTTTTTAGGGAGCCCTAGGGATGTTAACGTCTTGGTTTTTCTACACAAAGACGTCCTCACTGCACCATCGCTATTAAAAAAAAACATCAAGTTAGTAAGCATTGAGATAGATTTGGAAATACTCTCTGCTCTGTCAGCATAGATGCCAGACCTGCTGTCCTCTTACAGAAAGTCTCCAGTATCTAATGTGAAAAACAAACTGATAGTTTGGAAATAATTGTGACATTCCCTAATTGATGCTTTGCTATGAGAGGATTAGGGACACGTGAGAAACAGTTTTTGGGACGTGACCAAAAGTTAAAACAATTATTTCAGTGTTGACTTTAATCTAAGATTTCTGAAAAACAAAGTCAGAATATTATGAACATTTTTTTTATAATTTCTTTCCAGGATTTATTTTTTAATCTCAGAATTCTGAGAATTGTTCTCATAAATCTGAAAAAATAATCAGAACTCAACCTTTTTTCTTTAAACTTTTGGTCACGTCCCCAAAAAAAAGGTTCTCATGTGGCCCTAATGATTCCATGATTTGCAAACCTTACATGGATACATGAAGGGTTTTTGATTTCTACAACAATAGTCTGAGGAATGTGAGGAAACAGCATTGGGGTGAGCCCTGCTCTGTCTTGGAGAAGGTCATGCAGGCGGACAGATACAGGTTGGCAGACAGACAAGAAGCCAGCAGGGCTAACCCTTCCTCTCAGTACCTGGACGGACCCGCCCAGCCTATCAGCAGTGAGATGGGAGCCCAGCAGCTCTCGATTGGTCACTGGAGTGGGCTGCGACTCACTGCCTTTCCCCTCTGGAGACTAGAGGAGACAGGAAGCCCAATCGCAGGAGAAACCACACAGGAGAGGGAGGGAAAAGGTGAAGAGTACAAATAAAATGGAAGAGGAGGCTCGCCGTGGAAAAGAGGAACAGTCATGATAGAAGGAAGGCGAGGGAGAAGTGGGAAGACGAGCAGACGGAAAAGAGGAGCGGGCGGTGTGAGGAAAAAAAAAAGAACGAGGAAAGAGAAAATAAATAGTGAGTTCAGAGTCAGTATTTGGTGGAGGGTGTGCAGTACAGTGTGAGTGCACAGGAGACTATAGATCCCCACGCAGAAGGGCTATTTTCTTTGCTGCCTCACCTCACCTGCCCCAAAGGCCTGCAGTGTAACTACAGACGCCTTTTGAAACGTTGACCGATGGGCATCTGTGTGTGTGTGAATGCAAAAGAAGGAGGCATGCAAAGATAATGATAAGGAGACACCATTTGTTCTGCTTCAAATGGATTGGTATTGTCAGCCACACAGGTTATTTGAAAACAGACACATTGGAATGCTAAGAGTTATATTATAGCTGAATCAGGATTTGCCTGTTTTTTCTTATCTATTGTAGATGTTTAGAAACATAAAAAATGTGTTATTTATTTCATTCTTCAATACACCTTATCTGATAGGAGAAAAAAATTATTCACTCATCAGATAGACCACAATTAACTCCTATATCTGCCTGCATTCTTACCCATAAGACCCACCATTTAGTGCATTTGTTCATTATTTGAGATTTCCACCTTCTCAGAGCATAACAGATTGTAGTTTGAGTATGAACTCATATAGTTCTGTTCTGCTGATGGGCTGCTGTTAGCTGAATACAGAAGTCTTTTAGGAGAGTTCACTGACACTCTGCACCCGAGCTGAGAGCGTCGTTTCAGTCAACTGACACGGGTCGTGCTTCTCCCCATTCCCCCCCCCCCTCTACTTCCATGGCAGTCAGTGTTGTGGTGAAGTCACTTAAGAACCTGTTTATGTACCAACCTGCCCTGCTGCTGCATCCCTCGGGTTACAATAGGGAAGGAAAAAACTTGCCGTTATTTAACTGAAATCAGGTGAATTTAGTGTTAGGGGCCGGACGTATATAATATACACTAAATGTTCTTTTTAGATTTTACTGGCCAAAGTGTATTTGGGGCGAACGTATGAATATTTATATGGACTAGTTTTGTCGCGATTCTGCATTATTCTTTGATGAAATACAACAAAAACTAACATTTCATACTGTTTGTCATAACATATACAGAAACTGGATTTCTTTCAACACTTGAACACAAAAAGGGTCCCACAAGTTTTTCTCTTTAGTGGAACAGAGCAACAACTTGTGTGCATTCTTCAAAAGTAAAACACCTTCCACAAATGCAAAAAAACAGAATTGGAAACTCAAGAAAATATTGAGACAAATGTATCTCCCTAAACAACACCAAAGCAATAAGAAGCTATCCTGAACATAACATCAGGCACAACATATGTTCTGTGCTGCTGATCCAGTCTGACTACAGCTGTGATGGTGGCTGAAGAAGAAAACAAGAATCTTTACCACCACCTGAGCTCAGTGTGTTCAAGCCCTTCTGTTAAACACTGTCCACACACATCTACTGTCCACTTTTGATTGGACCAAACAAGAAGAACGTTCAACCAATGTTTAATAATGGCAATTTAGCTTTACTCATTTTTAGGGAGGACGGCAGCATGCGGCCAGCAGAGTGTGGCTGGTTCAGAGATGGGAAGCCAGTCTAGAGACAAACTCATGGATTTGTTCTTGCTATCTGCGGCTGAAAAGTCAAAGAAGAACTCAGGAGATCCCACTAAACTTAGGCTATATCATTATGACATTATTAATGTGTGTCTGCTATCGTTATAAAGGAGTCGTGGGGTGGCATTATCTCGATTCCATTGCACCATGTATCAAGAGAAGTATTTTCATACTTCTGTACTCACATGTGCTATTTTCAGTGCGTGCCAATTAAAAGAACAGCAACATGCACTAGGCTGCCCCTCAGATCCTTTGTTTCACTCAGTTAGCAACCTAACTGAGTTGCGTGTGTGTTCAGAGTGTGTACCTGGTTTTTGGTCTGCGGTGCTTTCTCTCGGCTACTCGTTTGAAGTGGAGTCTCACTGGCCACTGGACCAATAGGAGTGGGCTAAACACAGGAGGTGGGGGTTAACATCAGATCGAAGTAATAAAATACACATTCAGTGACATGACATTTCATTTTCTGGACTTTATATTCTATTACTGATTTTGTGCAGTTATTGCCAACCTTCTTTGCTCTGAGGTGGCCAGTTAAAGAGCCTGTGACACAAACCCAACAACTGTTGTGCAATGAAATAGTGGGCTACTAGTAATCTCGAACCGTCAGTTTAAAAAAGAAAAAGCGATACCGTTCCGATAAATATCAATAATTTCGAACATCGCGGGAAAATTCCTTCGACTCATTTTGAGGTTTTGGGGGAAGCCGGAAGTGACGTCAATGCGGGAACGCTTCACTGTGCGGCGAGAGAGCCAAACACGGACAAAGTGTGTTGTCATGCGTAGAAATGGTGAATTACTGAGTTTAGGCACGTTAATAACGTTTTAATGAAGTTGACTACAGTATATTCATATTTGTCAGTGCTTTCATGTCAATTCGGCAAACATGCCAAGGCACACAGGGGATAGGCTGGAACCAGTGGGAAGTGTGATCCACGACCCGCTATATAGCTTCAAATGTGCTATGTAGCACTAACGTGAGGTACGCTTACAGCATTTACTGGTGTAGTTCACTTGTAGCCTTTTAATACACAGTTTAGTTAAAGGGCGGCGTCTGTTTACTCTGAAGGAAAGAGGGAGTATCTGTGTCAGTGTGGCGTCTTCGTGTGTGCGTCCCGGGGCAGATTGAACGTGTTTTGTAATGTGTGTACTTGTGTCACTTTCTCCTCGTCCCGAGCTGTAATATTTACCGGGCGTACCAGTTCGTGGATAAATCTTGGGGCCTCGGTCGTTATTGCATGGAAAGGGTGAACGTTCGGCGAGCCCGGTGATTTTTATACGTAATTTTTTTTAATTTAACTTATGTGTCAGCCATATCCTATGAAACTGTTCGTTACAACAATTTAACAGAAGCAAATATTGTTGACATGTTTGTATCCGCAAAGCACTCCACCGCAACAGCAACAACCCACTTTCCGTTGCCTCGGACGGGCGACGAGGCGTCGACAGATACGACGCCTCGGCGCGCTCGTCACGAGGGCAAACGGGCACTCGCGGCCCGTTTTTTGATAGAAGTTTATTTCTTTCAGTGGCCTGCTCAATTTCCTCTCACTGTCCTTCGTAAGCTCTTCTTCTCCCTCTCTTGCAAAGGTCGGTCGAACTAGCTACCCTCAACCGAAGATCACCACGTCACTGCGCCAGGATTTTGGGAAAATATTAGATAGCTAATTAATACTAAGCTTTTAATATTTTCATCGCCATCTGTAACATATAATAGGTCCTTGCTTGTTTTGCCGTAAATAGTTTGTCCAAAAAAAGGTGGTTTGGAATAAAGGTCGATAAAGGTTTTGGATACCTCTTTAGGGTTAACGAAAAACAGCTCCCTATGCTGCGTCGAATAAGCGACTAAATCCTGCGCAGGTGACGTGGAAGTTATACTACGGTTTATATTTGTTCCAGAAGACAGCCGAGACATGTAGTTACGCTGGATACGACCTGGTTTCATTCACTTCTCATCTTTATATTTTCCATAACGATATCCCTTTACAGGGTCGTCAAATCCTCTTACTTCCAGATTAGATTAGATTATGTATCGGGTATGTACAGATTGAGGACTATTACTGTCCCTTCCGTCTTTCGTGTAATATGATTATTATTATTAATGATGAGTATTATTATCGTCTGTAAAAATTTGTTACTGGTGTTATAGTAATAAAATTACTTTGGTTTATACTTGTTAACTCCTTTTACTCCTCTTGACTACTAAGTTTACAAATCATGTTCGCATCTTACATCATCCACGTATTAATAATACCGGTTGTTTACACAAGTAAAAGAAGTAATAATCAGCCTAAAAAAGTACGTCTGTATAGCAACGTCCCTGATGACTTCAGTAGCTATGACCGCACTGACATTTGTTAGTTCCCGGAATTTATTTTTTTTACTAAAAAAAAAAAAATCTCCTGTAAAGTCTTATAGCGCCTATATATAGCATATAGCGCTATATCAGTCATTTATAGCGCTATAGTATAATCTCTGTTAGCGGGTCGGATGAAGTGTTGTGTCAAGACGGGGAGTGTGTGTGTGCGAAGTTTAGTTCAACGTATTGTAGAACCTCGATGCCAAAAATAATATTATGATCACTTTAAACGGACACATACAAAAGCAGTAATAATGTTGTCTTGTGTGTAACCGTTTGACTATTGTGACCGTTATAAAATTACATAATCTGATAATTTTTTTCTTTAAGTACGAAGTTTATTCACCCCATGCCGCATGGGGGCGCAGGTTGCGGGGTGATGTGGTGACTGACGTCATGATGTTTTTTCGAGTTCCAAACAAAAGAGTAGTCCTTTACGTCTGGCCCGGTTTCGTTTTCTAAAAATTTAGTAGGTAGGAGTGCTAGTAAATTACATACGTATACAAGCGGCTTAAATGTACTTTCGTGATTATTTACATCAAAGTCAGGTGAACTCAATGTTTTTAATTAGCTAACAAAAAAAAAAAAAAAAAAAAAAAATATAGTGTAGGCTGCCACGTCCTTTAAGTCCCGTCGGAGTGGATGGCTAAAATTAGGATTAATTAGTAGT